TGTAAGGTTGTGGCAGGGGAGAGCGTGGCCAGACAGCATTGGAAGGTTGTGTGTGGAATGATTGTTGTTGTGAAGAGGAGAAAAAGAGTTAAATCGGAGAAGAAGACCAAATGGTGGAAGCTGAAGAAGGAAGAATGTTGTGAGAAATTCAGAGAGGAGCTGTTAAAGGCTCTGGGTGGTAAGAAAGAGCTTCCAAATGACTGGACTACTACAGCAACAGTAATTAGAGAGACAGGTAGGAAGATACTTGGTGTGTCATCTGGACATAGAATGGATAATAAGGAAACCTGGTGGTGGAATAGTGAAGTGTAGGACGCCATTCAAAGAAAGAGGTTAGCCAAGAAGAAATATGACAGTGAGAGGACTGAAGAGAGGAAACAGGAATATAAGGAGATGCAATGTAGAGCAAAGAGGGAGGTAGCTAAGGCAAAGCAGAGGGCGTACGATGAGTTGTATGGGAGGCTGGACACTAAAGAGGGCAAGGAGGACGTGTACCGATTGGTGAGACAGAGGGATCAGGCTGGAAAGGATGTGCAGCAGGTTAGACATGGTAATATTCTAACAAGTGAGGAAAGTGTGACTGGAAGATGGAAGGAATACTTTGAGGAGCTAATGAATAAAGAGAATGAAAGAAAAAAAAGAGTAGAGGTCATAAAAACTGTGGACAAGGAAGTGGGAAAGATTAGTAAGGGTGAAGTCCGGAGAGCTCTGAAAATAATGAAGAAGGGGAAGGCAGTAGGACCTGATCACATACTAGTGGAGGTTTGGAAATATCTTGGAGAGATGACAGTGAGGTTTTTGACTCAAATGTTAAATGGCATATTTGAGGGTGAGAAAATACCTGAGGAATGGAGAAGAAGTGTACTGGTGCCCATTTTTAAGAACAAGGGTGATGTACAGAGTTGTAGCAACTACAGTAGAATTAAGTTGATGAGTCACTCATGGAAAATCTGGGAGAGAGTTGTGGAAGTTGTGGAAGTTTCTTAGATAGATAACTTTACTAATTGGCTTTTCTATGTATGTGAATGATCCTGTAAAGTGCCCCAAGACAACTTTGTTGTGATTTCAAGCTATATAAATAAACTGAATTGAAATTGAATTGGAAGCTAGACTTAGATGAGAGGTGACTATCTGTGAGCAGCAGTATGGTTTCATGCCAAGAAAGAGCACCACAGATGCCATCTTTGCTTTGAGAATGCTGATGGAGAAGTACAGAGAGGGTCAGAAAGAACTCCATTGTGTCTTTGTGGATTTAGAAAAAGTATATGACAGGGTGCCAAGAGAGGAGGTGTTGTATTGCATGAGGAAATCTGGAGTAGCAGAAAGGTATGTTAGACTGGAATAGGACATGTATGAGGACAGCAGGACAGTGGTGAGATGTGCTGTAGGAGTGACAGATAGCTTCAAGGTGGAAGTGGGATTACATCAAGGATCAGCTCTGAGCCCCTTCTTGTTTGCTCTGGTGATGGACCGACTAACGGATGAGGTCAGGCAAGAATCCCCATGGATGATGATATTTGCAGATGACATTGTGATCTGTGGTGAGAACAGGGAACAGGTGGAAGAGAACTTGGAGAGGTGGAGGTATGCACTTGAAAGAAGAGGAATGTTTACAAGACAGTGGTGAGACCAGCTATGTTGTATCATGGTCTGGAGACAGAGACATGGACAAAAAGACAGGAAAAAGAATTGGAAGTGGCAGAAATGAAGATGTTGATGTTCTCCTTAGGGGTGACAAGGATGGATAAGGTTAGGAATGAGATCATCAGAGGTACAGCACAGGTTGAACAACTGGGAGATAAAGTTAGAGAGGCTAGACTGAGATGGTTTGGACATGTCCAGAGGAGGAACAGTGGTTTGGACACGTCCAGAGGAGGGACAGTGGTTTGGACATGTCCAGAGGAGGAACAGTAGTTTGGACACGTCCAGAGGAGGGACAGTGGGTATATTGGTAGAAGGATGTTAGAAATGCAGCTGTAGGAAAAAGACAGAGGAAGACCAAAGAGAAGATACAGATGGATGCAGTTAGAGAGGACATGAAGGTAGATGGAGTGAGGACAAAGGATGTAGAGGACAGAGTAAGAAGAAGAATGACTCACTGTGGTGAACCCTGAAGAGAGAAAAGCTGAAAGAAGAAGAAGGATTTCAGATTGTGTCTACGGCAAGAATGCATAAAGCAATAGCGTGGTGAGCGACAGAGTGGTTACACAATCTCTACACTCTTTCATAAAACAGTTCACCAAAATGGCTGCACAGACCAGTCTGCCTTTTTCCTCCCTCTGGTCATTCATAACTCACAGATGAAGCCCACCAGTTCCCGCACAGATATGAGCTTTCAGAAATAAAGCGGGCAGAGCAGAACCAAAAAAAGACATGGAGCAGAACTCAGCTGCGTTGTTGGGGAGCCCAACGCAATAAATGTTGTTTACTAACCATGATTAATTAAACTCACTTTATCAATCCTCTTTGTGGTGAACTATTTTAAAACTAACTACAAAAGCTGCTGTGCACCATCATCAATATTCCCTCATGGTTAAATCTGTTTGTTGTTGAATCCCATGAGAAGGCGGTCTCACACAAATCTCATCAGTTCATCACATTACTGATTCCCACGGCTTAACTTCACGTCAGCCGGTCTGGCTGTTGTGTTCAGTGGCAAAGAGAGCTGGCTCAGGGTGTCGTGGACCGAGCTGGCTCAGGGTGTCGTGGACCGAGCTGGCTCAGGGTGTCGTGGACCGAGCTGGCTCAGGGTGTCGTGGACCGAACTGGCTCAGGGTGTCGTGGACCGAACTGGCTCAGGGTGTCGTGGACCGAGCTGGCTCAGGGTGTCGTGGACCGAACTGGCTCAGGGTGTCGTGGACCGAGCAGGCTCAGGGTGTCGTGGACCGAACTGGCTCAGGGTATCGTGGACAGAGCAGGCTCAGGGTGTCGTGGACCGAGCTGACTCAGGGTGTCGTGGACCGAGCTGGCTCAGGGTGTCTTGGACCGAGCTGGCTCAGGGTG